TATCTATTTTATTTACATAAAATATGTATTATCTATCTATTATCTACATTCAGGTAAATGTCCTGTTTGTTATGCTGGGTCTTCTGCCTCTTTTGCATCAGTTCCATTCTGTATGTGGAAGCAAGCATATGACAGGAGAGCATTAGTAGTCATACTGGTGAAACAGAGCAGCATCATTACCATATCACAATTATTTTTTCTTGCTAGATTTGCAGCACATTCCACAAGATGAAAGGGTCTCCATGAGCCTTAAGGGAGATCTCTACTTTGCAAATGTGGAAGAAAATGACAGTCGGAGTGATTATTGTTGCTTTGCAGCATTTCCAAGACTGAGGACGATTGTACAGAAAATGCCAATGACACTGAAGGTTTCCCGTTGTAAGTCTGTGGATGAGTAGTTTCTTATTTTCTGTTGTTTTTTCTAACTCCCCAGGCATCAGCGAATGCAGATGTGTGCCCTGTGTCTATGATGTGATTCTTTGAAGAAAATGCATATTACTGTGCTTATTCTTGCATTATTAACCTTACTCTAAGGGCTAAATTCAACCAATAAATGCTGTTTGCAAGCTGTTTGGGCCCAAAAGGGCCCCATTCTTCCTGCTGTTCTCCCCCCAGTGAAAGCCAATGATGCATTAGGGAAATCTGCTTCTCTTTCAGTCACCAGTGGATGGGCTTCACTGGGTCTTCAGGACTTTCTGTGGCCATATGCTCCTTGGGTGCCAACCTGAGTTGGTCTGGGTGCAACAATGCGGTTGGGAGGGACAGTATTTGTCAGGTCTTTGCAAGCTGCCTTGAGCATCCAAAGTGACACACAAGGCATTTTCCATTTCCTTAATGAAATTTAGTGTGGGGAACACTGAATTGTATTTGTCTATCTTAACATCTCCGTACTCCTGCAGTCTCCAAAGACGGTTTCAGGTGCTGCCCCTGAGTCTTACTTGTGCATGTGGGGTTTGCTGTCCCACTGTCATATGCATGCATTTATTCAGTGTATATCTACCTGCTGTGGCATCAAACTGCTAATTCAAGCTGCTTAAAATCACTGAACGTACGGGGTGTACAGCCGTCAGTGCTGGAAACAGAGGAAAAGAATACAAATATCCAAGGAAGAAAAAAAGAACCAGCCTTTTAGGGCACACTCTCAGCTGCATTAAAGCAGCAAAGCCCAAAAGAAGCTGGTGGAACTAAGGCAGCTTATACCAGCTGGAGATCCATCCCGCTTTGCTTGAATCTTTTTTGGCTGTAATAGTTTCTGGTATCACTTCTACCGCTTGCTGAGGCTGCTTATGCCCTTAATATCACTCTTCTGTCTCACTAATGCTTCTGACCTTTCGGGCTTATGCAGCCGACAAAGCCAAGGAGATTTTTCTTCATGAATGAAAGCCTAATATTTAATATATGATTTTGAGATATGATGAAAAGATAAAGAATTAATTGTGGCTTTGTATATCTTAATACTTGCTTAAACCGTATCTTGGGATAATAACTGTGAGAAAAATACCAAAATGAAATGTTGCTCTCTGTGGATTTTCTAATGGGTCCAGTCCCACACACATGCACACATCTAAATGGTTATGTAAATTCAGCTTGAGACTGCCCACGCCACTCTGTACCAAGTTCCAGTTGAGGGACTGTTTTTAAGAAAATACATAGAAAAAAAGTTGAGCAACAAGAATAAAGAGACTGGGTAATTTTCATAAAATTTCTTAATAGTGGTTACTTGGGGCTTAATGATTTTCTTTTATTATTATATTAGGAAACTAGGATGAAAAGGTGATTTTTTTAAGTATTTTGCAGAATAATATGTGTATTTGAAGATTTTTCTTTGTGTTTTCATAAATTTGTTCATCTGTTGCTTTATGTTTTTGTTTCTTTCTTTTATGGTAGAAATAGGGGGGGCATGTTTTTGTTTTGCTTGATATATTGTTTCTTTCGATTCTCTATCAACTATGCATGTTTGTGTTTGGTTGTCACTTTTATTTATTTCAGTTAAGCATGCTAATGACTCAGGCTCACCTAATGCTGCGGTTACTAAGGGTGAGTTAAATGCATCTGTTATTTAGCCTTTAAACAGAGAATCTACCATCTGAGATTAAATGTGAGCTGCTGCTCAGGAAACATGAAAAAGAAAATCACAAAAGCCTCTTTATTGCGATGGGATGGATTTAAATGGTCCATGGAGTACAATTTGCTCATCTTGTACTTTGTGACAGAAATCTGAAGTGCTTTTAACAAAGAGGTATCTTTCTTACTTGAGAAAACAACATTCACATTTCATAACGTGCTGTAAGTAAGGAGGCTGACGTCCTGCATTTATTGTGTTATCAGTTCAGAGCCGGAGCCAGAGTTGGATGCTCCAGATCCTCCTCTGGCAGTTAAGAAGACTCTGGTGTTGGGTACCCATGGTTTAAAACCATGAATTCATGTCTAAAAGGGACTGCATTACTCCAGGCTGAGCTTAAGGTGTGGATTTACAAAGCTTTAGGTACTCTGTGTTAATTGTCCCTATCTACAGCTTTACCTGATTCTCTTGAACATGTATTGCCCTGTCTGATACTCGCCACTGCACTTCTTATCCTGGGGAGTCACATCTTTCCTTGCTTTGTGTTCACCTTTTTTGCGGAACAATATTCTGAAAATATTCTGCCTGTTCATACAGAAAATGTGGACAAGTCAGAAGGCAGCTAGCAGCTGTTCCTGCAATTCTCCACCGAGTTTTGTTTAAAATAGGTAAAAATGAGAGTTTTGGCTTTTGTATGTAGCTCTTGAATCCAGTTTATTTGGTTACACTGCTTTTGAGCATGTCTATGTTTTGAAATTCCCAATTTGAAACTCCTGAAAAACCTCATTTTGCTGGACAAGCACTGAAGTTTTTGAAAAGTGGGTTCTCCTCCAGTGTTTCTGGATGGATAACAAAACATGGATCAGACCAATGGAGGCTAAGTCTTGTGAGCAGAACAAGCAAGGCTTGTGCAGAGTGACAGATACTCAGAAATCCTTTTTTTTCCCCTTGGAGAGATGTATGAACTCCTGTCGCCAGTGGGAAAGGAGCACTGCCTGCCTTTGGCAGTGAGAGGTGGAGGGCAGATGGAAAATGTGTGAGCATATCCAGAGGCACCGAAGTGTTTTGCTGCAGCTCTGAGCGCTTGTGACACAGATTCGTAGAGATACAAAGCAAGGGAAGGAAAAAACCCCACATTAGATAATGGTTCAGAGAGATACATGTGATCTTTTACCAGTCCATCCGTAACTGACTATTTTTTGAAGAAGTAGTACCATTTGGGGACTTATTCATTACTGTGCTAATTGTTATTATAGTGATAACTGGATAGCCATTTAACTCTCTGCATATTTCTTCATGAAACCATTGTTTGGCAGGCTGGAACAAATGGTCCATTGAAATCAAATGCAGGTCAATCTTGTTTTATTATTTTAACAGTCTTTACAAATTGTATCTCCATTACTGTAAATTTAATAATTGTAGCAAGAAGGACAATTCTGTTTGATATTCAAGTCAGAAAAGCTGGGGTTTCGTCTGGGATTAAAAGATGATGGAGTCAATGCAGAAGAAAGGTGCTAGGAAAGATGGTGTGGACTAGATCAGCAATTGCAAAGACCAGCATACCAAGTCTGGCTTGAGGTGTAAGATAGGCCATTGCTTAGAAAGCAGGACATGAAACTCTAGGAAAAGGGGCTTCACCAGTACTGCTGCCTGTTATTATTACTGTAGCCATCTTCTGACTGTTAACAGGAGAAACAGGAAAGTCCTGGATTATTCTCAAAACATGTAAGTAAAAGCAGAGAATTGACAAATCGATGTCCAAAATCTTCTGACAGAAGTAATGTTTGTGGCACTATAGAAGGATAAACAAAGGCTCTAAGATTTGATATCTAACTTTTATTTTATTTTATTTTCTAGCAAATTTTATCAAGGAAAGAAAACCCAGACTGCTGATCCCTCCTGAATCTGCTGGCAGTAGCTCATCAGTCACTGTCATCAAGGGAGGTGTCCTGCTACTCGAATGTATTGCTGAAGGGCTGTGAGTAATGTGCAATACTGCACAAACCTTTTGGAATAGCATTAAGCAAAGGAAAAGCTATATTAAGAATTATACAACTACAAATGAATATACCTGTCTGCCTGTACAGTTTTAAATTGAACCTCTATGCAGAGTTTTCCTGAAGTATGCATACTCCTTCTAAAGGAGCACAGATCTATCATGCAACATTTATGTATTTGTTAATGCCATAGCTTATAAGTAAGTAATTAAGATCATATCCTGGTAAGTATTACTTTCTTTTTTTTTTTTAACTGTTATATTTAAAAAAAAAAATACTGATTTTTTTTTTTTACTAGTACTACTTTTGATGTGTTGAGAAGCTAAGTATCAGAATTCAGCTTCTGTGGTTTGGCTCACAACCTGTTTCTTGTCTAGTTTTGCCAAATCAGTTTTGGTTCAACGCTGAAAAATTATTCATCATTTTTCCGGGTGTTCCAGGTTTTCTCAGGTTTTTATAAAAGCAAAGTTCTTGAGTGATGTAATACAAGACATCCATTAGGGTAGTGCCCTGTTGAGTGAAGAAGGTGGTCCATCTAGCCATGTTGCAATGGGAGGTGCTGGCTCAGGAGTGGCTGTGAACCTGGACACTTTCTGTGGTCTGTTCACCAGCATCCTGATTTTCCATGAAAAGGATATTCTTTCCATGGTGTTCTCATAGACAACAGCATGTTGAGGAACAAATTCCACAGCTACGTAAAAATATAGTGAACTGGAGTTAGCCATATTGGTTTGATCCTGCTAGAACTAACAGTAATAGGCTACCTCCAAATATAGTTCCACTCCTGTGTTTTCTGCTTGGGCCTATTCCTGTGCATGCCTCTTGTGCTTTGTGCTGCAGGGGTATCTCAAGCTTATTGTTGCAATCAGCATTTACATTAGAGCACTACTTAAGCTCTAGTTGTGGATCTGGCTGCACTAAGTATGGCAGAATATCTGTATTTGGTGTAAAATATAGGAAAGGGTTAAAGTACATGGTATGTGATAGAAATCAGGACAATTTTGTTCCTTATTGTAGCAACACAGAACAAAATAAGGGTAAAAAGGGAAATCAAATGGCTAAATAAATGTTAAGTGCAGTCTTCACAATGAAGCTGTGAATAACTCAGCCCTTGTTTCTGCTGCTGTAACTCAGACAGACAAAAGCTCCACTTTGCCCTCAATCCAGCTCTCCAATTTTTACTGTGTGCTTGTAGATGTAATAGTCTGCCCCAGAATAGTTGCCACCAGAGGAAGAGGTAAAGCAAAAATCTCCTCAACCGCTAAACCCACAATGAAAGCACAGTCACTTCTGGTTTATTTGTGATAGAGCTTTTTGTTGAATGGAGGCTTAAATCATCATCTTGTCATGCTGTATGGTAGAGCTACAGGTCTGTGAGTGCAGACAGTGGTTAGCAATTATATCCTCTCTACAAAATTCCAAAATCAGGATATTTGTCTGCCTGAACAAGCATGTTTAGGGTATTTTGTTTTTCTCTGTGGGCTTGAAAGGGTATTGCTCATTCAAGCTGGCAAGATTATGCCTCTGCAGTTGGTTGCCATTTCTGAGAGAAGGTGAATTACTTGTCTCTATTGGATTCACTCCAAGTATCTGCAGTGAGTTTTAGTTCCCTGTTGCAACACTTCCTTGTCTAATTCACTACCCATCAACCTAATTTGGAGGCCCACAATCCTCCATGAGCCCACAGCTATGAATTTATAGTGTTTTCAAAGTACTTTATAGGTAAATCACCTTTGAAATACACAAATATGAATTTTCATGCATGAAAATTAATATCATGTACAAGAAGAAAAACAGCTTTCTGTTTCTTTGGGAAAAGGGTAAAAAGAAAAAAAGAAATGAAATAAATATTCAATCAAAATTTTCCAGGAAACTTTTTTCTGAATTATTTTTCAAACAAAATGGTGTTCTTTTAAAATATTCACTTTTGAAAGAAGACAGATAACTTCTTTGTCTGATCACCAAACAAGAATTTTTTCATAAAATGCAACATTTAGACCAAAATAAAATGCTATTTTTATTCCCATTTTCAGCAGAAAAATGATCAGCTTTGCCTATATCTCTGCCAATCCATCCCACCAAATGTCCACAAACCACAGAAGCGGATAGACTGAGCCAGATTTCAAGTAACTAAGATCAGGGGCAGCCAACTGCAAAATAAGGAATTAAGTACATTTCCAATCTGTCAGTTTTGAAGACTTATATTCTGAGTAATGACGGTGTCAGGGGGGCATTGCCTCAGTACAACACCAAGGCATTACAGAACCTGACTTCGGTACAAGAGCAGGGCAAAGACTCTTGCAGGAAATAATTGGTTATTCGCACAGTTGTGCTTACTGCTCATGGAAACCCATAATTTCTTGGTACATGGGGCTTTGAGTAGCTTGTGCCCGGGCATTTTGCCACAACAACAGATGGACACAAGAGTAAGCAGATATGACACTGTGTATGTACGTTGTGTATGGTGTCGGGGTCGTGAAGTCCAGCTGGGAATGTTCAGACAACAGTCTGTCCTGAATTTCTGTGTCACTGCTATTCGCTTTCTAAAAATGTAAAGAGAGTTTTCAGCCATCTCCAATGGCTGGCCATGTTTCTAACCAGGCAGGGCACTGAGTGAAGTCACTGTAATGAAGTCTTTACCTCCTTGTCTGTCCTCAAGTGCCCTTCAAGAGCAGGATGAAATGAGCTCTATTCCCTCTTCCACAGTCCATGCAAAACTATAAGGAATGCAGTCTCATGTCATGGCCTGGTGTCGGCTGTGAAGAACCTACTCATAGGGACCCTTCAACTCAAGAAGCAGTAAATATTAGTGGTAGTATAATCCTTAGGATAATCCCAGTGTTTTAAAAAGGCTCAAAAGACTCTGAAAACTTCACTTTGCACACCGTATATGCATGAAGTCTAGCAGCAATGCCAACATGAAGCATTGCAGCAGCCTACTGTTCAACTCAATATATATTTTGTTTTTATTTCTTTGCTATTAGCCCAACTCCTCATCTAAGCTGGATCAAGGTCACAGGAAACTTGCCCAAGGATGAACCAGAAACAGAGAATTTTGGGAAGATACTGAAGATAGACCAAGTGACTACAGCTGATGAAGGAACATACCAGTGCACAGCAAGCAACCCCATGGGGAGAGTGAAGCATGAGTTCCATGTTCATGTGGAAGGTGCTGAGTATACTTCACTAAGCTTATCGATTTTGAAAAGAGAGGGGTTTGAAGGGAAGTGAATAAGGATCTTTCCTAGCATCACTCTGTATAATGCATAAGTTCAACCTACTCTTATCAATTTATATTAGCCAAAGACATGGTTTTTAGAAGCTTGCAGAAAGTATCACCTTTAAAAAAAAGGAAAAAAAAAGGAAAAAATACATTTATTTTCCTGAACCATGAAGGCTCCACAAAGTGGTGAATAGGAGTACAAATACATGAGCAGATCCAGTACTCTGAAGATGATATTCAAGCAGAGATATTGATGGAACGTCTTGTATTAATCTGAATGTCAGACCAAAAGATCTAATTATTCTACTTGATCTTCAAGAATGTGTAAATATCTACTTTGGGCCAGATCGGAGGTACATTTAGCTCAGTTTCCTTCTTTGGCTTCCACCAAAAGTGAATGCCTAGGGAGGATTGTAAAAGTTCAGTGAGCAAACATGGTACTACCTCTACCCTTATTTTTGGCCCTATATTTGTATAGGGACAGCCTGACTGAGCTAAGAGTGGTTTCTGTAGCCCCTGAGAAGTATCATAAAAACTTGTGAAACAGTGTAAAAAAAAAAAATTAAAATTACTTTCTCGTAATTTTAAAGAAAGTGCTTTTAAAAAAATGAAATATGACTTTTCATCATCCCACCAAGTATCCAAGGTCTTGTTCTCACCTCACGCTAGCCTGTGTGCTTGGGAGGATGACCAATGCTATATTAACAGAATTCTTAGGTTTACATTTGTGTGTATCATGATGTGTGATGATACATCATTGTGCGTAGGGAGGTGCATCCCTGTGCATATGCATGCACACAGATCTGGTGGCTGAGCAGGCTGAGCACTGGCTGCTTGTGCTGGGCTAACAAAACAGAGAACCTGATAGTTTTGTGCATCCATTTGGTTGTTATTTATTTATGTTGCTGCTAGAAGAAGGCAGATTAATGAAGCCAACCAAGATGCCATCATAAAGGGCATCTTGCAGAATGCAGATAGAGGTTTGTGATGCCTGCTCCTTCTCCATCCTCTAGTCTCCCTTCTCCTACTCCCCAAACCCTGAAGGCGCAAGACCTTCACAAGAGGCAGGTGCAGATGCTCTTTCCCAGGAACAAAGCAGAGCTCCAGTGAGACTTAGCAGAGACAAGCAAGACTTGCAGAAGTATCATTCCCACTGCAACTCTTTCAGTGACACTGCCCATAAGTAGCTACAAAATGAGAATCCTGAAGCACTGCTGAAAAACCCGCTGAAAACATTTTCTCTTTACCAATGAAAAATGCTCCAGACTCTGCTCTGCAGAGTGAAAAAAAAAAGAATCACAGGCAGTATTAAACTGCCAGAGTCTGCCAACTGCTTCATTTTAATCTGTGCTGCTTCTCACTCCATGGGCACAAGGAGTCCTGACAGGAGGAAAAGCACTTTCAAATACCTGCTCTGTATTTACTCCTCAGCTGAGGAAAAGCCTTTTCTCCCAGTGTGTGATGAATCATCCCCATTCACTCACCACAGCCTTGTGTCTTATAGTCTTCTTTCCCTTCCTGGAAGTTTGGCAGAGGGGGATACCAGGGCATGGCAAGTTTTCAGCTACAGCGGAGGGGAAGTGCTGACTCCTAGAAATCATTCCAGATGGTTTGGAGCATCTCTGCTGTAGCTGAATATTTTAACAATCTGGCTATGATTTTCTCGGCTGTAAAAGTTGAATCCTTCAAAGAAATTGCAGGAACTGCAAAACCTAAAATACCAGAGAAATAACATTAATTAAGCAGTTGAGAATATTGACCCCCTTCTCTCCCAGTCTCTAGAGGGAGAAAAGCTTTCTGGCAAATTGTTCCTGCTCATTAACAAACAAGGACTTAAAAAAAAGAGGAAATAATGCCACTGTAGCCATTGCAATTTAAAAAATGCTCTTGCTATTAAATTCATTTTCCATGTGTGTAAATAATGATGGCTACTGTCAGTAGCAGGAATTCTTCCTATTCAGAGTCACTTCACATGCAGGGTATCAAGGTAAAATTGAGCCCAAACACTGTCTTCTAGAATTTCTAACCAGAAAATGTCACTATCATTAATCAGAGAAGGGCACGTTCATCATTCTTGCAGCGACTCCTGTTTGCACACTCAAGGGCAGATCTTGAGTTGGAGGAAGCGAGCATTAATTTCAGTAGGCTTCAGGGAGGTTATGCTGACGTAGGGCTTCCTCACACCTGACAGGCTCTTCTCAAAGGATGCATGCAGGGAGAAGAAAATTAAACAGGGAAGAAAAACTGTCTCAGTTAATAACTGCCAGCCATTCCCATCGAGCACTGGTGTGCAAATCAGGATTTTGATTTCATTTCTGCACTGTGTCACGTTTTCTGTTCTCCCTTCTAGTATCTGAGGATCTCAAACCGATACCCCAGCCTTCCAAATAACAGTCGTAATGATATTTGCATTTGCACTTACTAATCCTGCAGGAGTCTGAGGGCAAAGATTCAGGCAATTATTACCAAGCGTATGAAAATATTCAGCTAGCAAATTGCTTGAGTGTTTGAGCATTTTAATCTATCTTTGCAAGGAAAGATGTAGTGTGGAACATTGGAGCAGGCATAAAATCCCCATTGTTGTTATTAGAATGAGAGACAATTACTAAAAAAATAAATAAATTAATAAATAAAAAGCGGACCAAGCCCATAAATTGTTTTGACTTTAAATGTTTATTTATTTGGTTATTGCACATAATACTCCAAGCCCGATATAAAATGTACATGTAGCCTCAAGATCTTGTCACGATCACAGCGTCTGATCTAATGGAAGCTTGATCTTGAGTGAGGCTCCTAGACTGTATTTAATGGAAATAATTATTACAATATAATGATTAATTAAAATAATGATATAATAGCATAGGGCCTTTGAAGTTATGTCTCGTAATACTTTCATTACTCAGCTAGAGAAAACTAAAATAGATAAAACTAATGTAAGGCAGAACCATGGCTGGTTGTAGTTCAAACTGTAGTTCTGTGTTTCAGTGGAAAACTGTTCAATAGAGATGCAGACCCCAAGGTGGTAACTGCAGCTGAAGCTACCGAAGATGCCCCTGAAGTGGGATGGGGTGCCAGCCTTTGGGAAGATGTGGGAGAATTAGAAATTATCTTGACAAATTAGGAAAATGGTCTGGAATAAAAAGGGTGGGCTTCAGTAAGCACAAATGCAGAGCAGTTGTCATCAGGCAGCACTTCATAAGCACAGTATGGAAAGTGTCTGGTTAGACTGGTCTGGAGGATATATTGGATCACAACCTGAACATGACTTGGAAATATTAGTCTTGCAGGAAAAGCAAAAATCATCCTGGAAAATATAAAGAAAAGTGTTGTTCTAAGAGAGACTACTGACTACTGATAAGGCCTTGTACTGTAACCAGTCGTATATGTGGACTTCATCAAAGATGGGGTTAACTCAGACAATTCAGGAGAAAGCAGCAAGGGGAGTCACTGAGCTCAAAAACATGACATTTGAGAAAAAATTGACAGATATGTTTAATTTAGGAAAGAATGAATCTGGGGAATGTGTAACAGCCTTCAGATGAACTGAAGTTTCTTTACAAAGTTCCCTGGGGATAATGTAAGATACGAAAGACTTAAACTGAGCAAAGCAAAAGTTGGTTAGACATTACAAATTTGTTCTAGTCATGGGGAAAGCAAAGTAGGGCTGCCATAGAAAGTATGGGAGGCTGTGGTGAAGGTCTGGGTCATTTGGGGGTGTTTTAGGTGGAGATGATCGTGCTCTGTTGAAGAAGGATGGACTAGATGCCCATTTCAGATCCCTTCTATTCTTGGACATGTCATTACATTCCCATAAAGACATAAACATCAGAAGCCCCACATTCATAATTCTCACCAAGAAGAATATATTATGCAGTGAAGTATTTGCCATATCATATTGCTTATACAGATTCACTATTCAACTATCCAGCCACTGGGTTTTTTTGTTTGATTGGTTGGGTTTTTTTTTTGTAGTTACTAGGAAATACGTGTATATTTTGTTATTCTTATATTTTATATACTTATAAGTAGTGTAGCATATCTACAACACAGAAAAGAGATTCTTCAGCCTTTCTGTAAAATTATGTTTCATACTTGGCAAAATCTTACTGGCTATGGCTTCACAACTACATCACTTTCTTGGGAAAACCACAGCAATTTTCATTCTAAGAAAGGAAAGCTGTGGCATAATATATCTGCAGCTCACTTCCAGAGTGTTTGCAGGTGAAAATAAGAAAGGATCTATCAAGTGTTATGTATTCAAACTGTGCTTGGTGTCTCACCTCCTCCAAAACAAGGAAATATCCTGTCTCAGGTACTATGCTTGTGACAGATCTAGAGGAAAAGAATAACAAAACAAAGTAATCAGGACTCTACAAACCTTTTCATCGCCCTGCCTTTGACATGTTTTTTCCTATTAAAAGCATAATGTATATGAGAAAGAGAGAGAAGGGAAAAGATATGCAAAACCACAATGTTCTGCTGTTTGCAGAGTTTTTTTCCTGGAGCCAAAGACAAGGAAGTGTAAGTATGGTCATGTCACATGCTGCACTATGGGAGGGCAATCAGTGCTATATGAGGGAGGTGGCAGAAGAAATCTATATCGTGTAAAGGAAATGCAAAGATGTTATAATTTTAGATAAGCTTCAATGTCTTGAATTTTACTTCAGCCTTTAGATGTTGCTTAACCACGTCTCTTCGTGGGTATCTATTGTGGAAATGGACTGTGTGTAGTTATCACATTTCAGGGGTGTTTTTTAATATATCTGTGTGAATATGAGCAATGTTGATTTGTTTTATCATACCACACTGATAACATCTGGAGATGTATTACCAGGCAACAGCTCTGTTAATCTTCAAAGCATTTTATGAGCATTAACTAATGAATCCTTGTGTTTCCCATACATGAGCTCATCTTTTTCAAATAGGGATTAGGCTCAGGGATCTGCCTAGCACATGTAGAAGAGGTAGGGTCAGGTCTGTAAATCTGGAAGTTTGTTGCTTCTCAGTGAAAGATAATGATGAATTTAAGGCTGGTTTTTGGACTGAGGATGCCCAATGAAGGGTAGGCGGGCTCAGGGACCTGCAGTCAGTCTCTAAAGAACAAAGGATTCATCAAATTAACGTTTTGGTTTTGTTGTTGGTTCGGGTTTTTTTAATGCCCACAGTCCCTTTCCCTCCCTTATAGTTGTGTTTTTCCAAGGAGGTTTGGGTACCTGCTGCTCAGGGGCTGCTCTGCAGAGGAGGTTTCCCCAGAACTACCCCAGTTTAGCTGGCAGTGCTGGGAAAGAGGAGAGCACAGGGAATACAGCAGCACATTGTTGCTCCTCTACCACCACCCTGTGGGCAACCTTTCTGGGCTGCTTCTCAGGATGATGGTTCTCTCCTCCTTTCCCAGTGGTGAGAAAATGTTCCATCATTTCTAAATAGGTTAAGGATCAGCCTCTCATCTGAATACACGATGGAAAACCAGAATATCGAAAATTACAATGCATTTCCTCAACACATCTAGATGATCAGAGAAAGGTGCTACGTCCTTTGTGGAGCTCTGCTGCATTGCTGTACTGGGCACTTGTTAGTGGCTAGTGAGAGGGATTTGAGCTGAGCTGGATGGATATTTGCATCTTCGAGTTGCTGAAATAGCTGAAATAGCCTCGCCTCATTTCACAGACCACAATCTCACGACTGAGGGTCCTTGTGGAACACCCACCCATTCAGGTTTACCTCCTTCCCCAGCATCTCACCTCCATTTGCATACGTTTTCCACCTGGATAAACACTGCCCATTTCCGACACTCTCTCCCTGACACTCACATTTCACGAAGGACAGAAACCGAAGTATGCTGATGCTAATTTTACCTTTTGTAACATCAGTTTGCAAGAAATACAATGCAGCCTCCCAGTAGGCTGCTAGGAGCAGGCTGCGAACTGTTGTCAGCGTTTGCCATCTCCTGGACGACCAGACGAATAGCAGGGTTAGACATTTCTGTGGCATCTGAGACCTGGCTATGTCTCCTCTTTACAGAGCCTCCTCAGTGGATAAAGAAACCCGAAGGTGGTGTTTACAGTGTGGGAACAAATCTTGTGCTGCTGTGTGAAGCTATTGGCAACCCAGAGCCAACCATTCAGTGGAAACTTAACGGGATGCCCATCGATAGTAAGTGCAAGGTCAAATGTTCTGCTTTAGGTGGTGGCCAGGTGGGATGTGCTTGGGTTGTGCCCAGTTAGAGGGAACACCTAAATCCTAACACCGAATGATGTCTAGTTTTACATCTGTTTAGATATGAATTACTACTTATTAAAGCTGATATTTAAATATGATCTTGAAGAGAGTGAGGATGAGAGCTGAAGGGTGCAGAGTGGTGGTATCCATAAGTTACTGCCTCACCCTGTAAGACTCCCATCTTTTGGGGATCAGGGATAGCTTGTATTCATTGAGGGCTCCTGATCTTTCTTTATGCTTCTGAATAAGCACAAGTGACTGCATGGCTGGAGAGCACGGGACCTGCTCCCTGGTGTAGCTGTGTTATTGCTACCTTTTTAAAAAGTCTGTGTGGGGATATTACTGGAAATTGGTGCTCTAGAGAACTTTCTTTAGGCCATGGGGCTGCTGGCAAAGGCAGTGCTCTTCAACTTGTCCTCCGGCTGTTGAGCAAGGTTCAGATTTGATCTTGAAGATGTGCCTTGCCTTTGACCTTCAAATAGTGAGGAGACACAGTGAACTCCACAGCCGTGGTGTTTTCTCCAGCTCCTGACAGAGTCTGGGTCTTTCCAGGTAGGACCTTCAGAGGGAGACTCTCTACCAGAGAGATCAGCCTTACCAACCTTCAGCTTCAGGACAGTGCTGTGTACCAATGTGAGGCCAGCAACAAGCATGGCACCATCCTTGCCAGTGCCAATGTGAATGTCCTCAGTGAGTACTCTCCCAGCCTTTCATGTACATGAGAAAAGATCTAACTGAAGTGTTCCATTCTGCTGACTGAATCTTCAGAACAGGTTGGGGTTTGTAACCATGTGATTGTTCCTTTGCATTGCTCCCAGATTGTCCAAACTAATGCAACAAGCCTTATCGTGGACGATACTATATCCTTGGTATAATTGTTCATGAGCTTTAAGATAAACTTCTTTTAAAAATATGGTTGTGGTTGGACTCAAAACCTTTAGAATTCAAATGTACTAAAACCACTGGGAAGGGAATTGTGACCACAACTCTGTTTATGAATTAAGTGTATTGTTAATCTTGAATTTCAGCTGTGATGCTCAGCCTGTTCTGTGAAGAAGAGGAGTGATGGGCATTTATTTAATAAAGGAGGTTTCTAGAGGAAGCAGAACCAGATCTGTTTTCTCTCCTGGAGCATGTTGATGCTTCGTGTTCTGAGATGTCCAGCAGTCAACCACTGCTATCTTTGTCAGTGGAGCTTATAAGGGTTCAATTGCTCTGTGCAGCTGGTTCCAAAAGGCAGTGAAATGCCCATTAAGTAGCTAAGTCTTTGACCTTTGATGGAAAAGGGGATGATACAGGGACAGTATTTATATTCCCAGTTCTGAAATGCAGTGCTGCTCATCTTGCATTCTCTTCTGCAGATATCGCTCCCTTAATACTGACCTCAGATGGTGAAAACTACGCTGCAGTTGTGGGTTACAGTGCCTTCCTGCACTGTGAAATTTTTGCCTCACCTGCAGCAGATATTAGATGGTAAGCCACTAAGAACCGAAGTTTTCATGTGAAACAACTTCATATAGGCTACCCAAACACAGAAAAATGTGCTAGTTATTATGTCTATGGAGTTAAAATTAGAACTTTGTGACAAAACTGTGTGCAAGTATTCTGTGTTTAAATGCACTTTCAGGAACCCTGAAGAACTGGTTAATTAAAGTCCTCAATACCTGTGTGAGGCAAGTGCTGGGATATTCATTAAACCAAGCCATGCTGTATATAGTCAAATCCTGCTACAGCTTCATCAGCCTTAGTTTAATACGGGCAACTTTTAAAGTTTGGACACATTATTAAGGTGGAAATGCACTGGCTTACAAAGCATATTTACCTGGGAAAGGTTCCGTATGGTTGGAAATCACAGGATTGTCACAGCCCTTTACAGGTGCAATAAAATTGGAGATGGCAGGTATAGATTAAAGACTCAGCCAGACTAAAGGCTTTGCTAGAGGTTGTCAGTGCATTTTTGGCTTGCAGGAAGTTTGTGTGGGTAAAGTGACCTGCTTAATCCCGACTTGATTCCTCAGTGGCAGAGCTGAGACCAGCTCCCAGAACTCCTGCTCCCCTCTGCAATATCTGCTAACCTTGAAATAACAGTTCCTGCAGCCTTAGTAATAGCCATAACTATTGTTATCACATTTAGGACTAAGGATGACAGCATAGAGCCACTTTCAACATTACGCTATGAGTTAAATAAGAATGGCACCCTCGAGATCAAAGAAACAAAGAAAGAAGACTCAGGATCATACGCTTGCTGGGCTGCAAACTCTGTTGGAAAAAGAGCAATCACTGCCAATCTGGATATAAGAGGTAATGTCTCACTTATGAATAGAAAGACCTTTCACATCTGGTAAGGTCTGATATTTACAAATTTTCACTAAATACGTAATAAGTAAATATTCACTCCAAGATACAGAATTGTTCTGTGAGGCTATAAATTCTCTGTATACTAAGACCTGAAATTGCCACAAGTCTTATATATATGTAGCAGTTACTACTGTCTCCATTTTTCTGTGTGATTTCTCCATGCTCATACAGGATGTTTACTTTTTCCTGGACATTTGCAAAAGCTGCATAAGTCACTAAAAACTCCTACTTTACTTCCCAGATCCATTAACTTTATTTTCCAGAAAGGATTTCTTTCCCTCTTGCCATCAGCTCTGTTACACTCAGAGCAGGTTCTTGGCTGACCCTGGATAGCCTAGAGTTGTCCCTGTGCTCATAGGCTCGATGGGGTCCTTGCTGAGCCAGACAGGGTCCCACAGCTGTAGGCTTCCTCCTTCTTAAAGCTGCTTCCCATCTGTTGATCAGAAGGTACATCCCAAACTGAATTAATGTCTACAGCAAACACCAAGCACATAGCAACAGGATGAGTTACGGGATGCTGCTGGTTTAAGGGCTCTGTGTTGGGCTTTTGCCTGATTATCAACTTGGCAAATATTTGTGAATAGAGGGGAAAATAATTACTGAAATGTGTTTACTTATAAATATCAGATACTTACCTTGTGCTTCAATTCTGTTTTAAAGGGATTTATGTGGTTGGCTGGGCAGGAGGGGTTTTCCCCTGGAGGGTGTGATGGCAGAGCTCAGCTTCTGTTGAGCACACAGATTAAATTTAGTGCACTGCAAACAAATTTACTTAGGATTTAGGGCTTGCCAGTAAAAACAAACCTTAAATGCTCAATTAGCAAAGTCCTCAAAAGGACTCTCAGTTACAGGTTTGCTGTGACAAACTTGAGGAAAAAACCCGACTCTTTTTGTGTTCTATTTCCACCCACTCCCTTTGCTTTGTAAATTTTACAGTGATAATAAACATGAAATTCTCACAGAGCCACATTTCACTGTAAAAATAAATTCATCCAAGTGCTTTCTTCTCACTTATTCATCTGTTTCTGCATTCAGATTAGAATCAATTAAAAGAACAAACTTGATTGCAATATTTTTTCTCACTTGACTTTAATAAGCTTGTAATTTTTCTTGGAGCATTGCCAAAGCTTATTTCAAATGGCAATTGGACATAAAAATCATATTCAAGCCTTTTATTTCTCATCCATTTCGTGAGTCTGATAACAAGGATTTTCACCTGTGACTTTTTTTTTTGTAGTTTTGTTGTTTTCTTTTTGTGGAGCTCTTTGTTTTGGCATGAACCAAAAAAGATTTTTTCAAGATAGAAAATTAAATCCTGGTGAATACCTATTGCAAACCCAACTAACCTTCTCTTGAAATGTTTGTACATATAACAAAAAAGACACAATTGTTTCTCCTAAGGTTGATTTTGGTATATGTAGCGCTTGGTGAGAATTCCATGTAATAGTCTCTCTCTCCTAATCAAAGTGTTTTTCTGTGATCAATCAGATGCTACAAAACTTGTTGTTACTCCGAAGAACCCCCGAGTGTTGAAATCACATTCAATTTTATTGAAATGTCAGGCTGAGTATGATTCACACTTGAAACACAGTTTTAAATTATCCTGGAGGAAAGATGGAGATGAGCTGCCAGTCAACAGCACAGAAGGTGGCAGGTAAGCAGGGAAGAAACAAGAGTTTTCTTGATCTCAGCTGAATAAAGCTGTATGATGCTGGAACATGAGTTTCAATAAACATGAGATTTAATAGCTTGAAATGCAAATTTATGTCTGCAAGAATTCTTCATGCAAAATGTGAATAGATCTGCATTTTTTATATACATATAAATGCATATATATGAGTTTTGAGCCGTGGCTGGCAAATGATTTTGTTTTTTATTAACTCTCTCACTATCACAGAATGTTGCATAAGTGTTGGTTCAACCCAAAAATACAAACCTAGCTCTGCTGCAGTCATTTGTTTTTCTCCACTACAGTGGAACTAGTCTTTTCCTTTGGTTTACACCTCTTTGGCTGAAGCAGAGTCCTTGTAAGTGATTGGTTAACAGCTTTCTGGGATTCTGTCTGAAATTGTACACATTAAAAGCAATGAGTTTTTCTTACAGAACATGAGAAAAACATGAGTTTTTCTTACATTTCTTGCAAGTCCAGGCTGAATTTTGCCCTAGTCTTGTGTTTCCATCGGCCTCAAGTGGATGGCACTAAGCCTTTATTCCATATGAAGGGTCCCACAGTGGGCAATCAGATGTCTTTATTAATTACCCCAGAAGAGAGATGTTTTCCTAAATATTGCAGTGCTGGAGAGGATGAAGATCCTGCTGAGGCCACGTAGCATGGGGAGATAGTGCCAAGCAAATGCCATGTCTGCAAGAGAGCCCATGTGTGTGGGTTAATGCCAGCTTCCCCTGGTGCACTGGACATTGCACAAGTAGGAACAAATGGGTTGAGAATGCTCAGTTTTACTGAGCCCTTTCAAGAATTCAATATAACGCCCATGTATTTGCCTCATTAATGATGTGCCAAAATCCTATGTTCCAGACGCTCAGCGGATGCATGTTAAACGTGGTTCTTTTCAGCCCAAGAGATACATGCCAGCTTCCAGCCATGGAGGCTAAATTGCTACAAAATACAAATAATAGTCTACAGCACAGTGTCTAATACAACTACAATTATGTTTTATAGTAATTGGACTAACATGCAATTATGTTATTCAAAATGTCATGTTACGAAGTTTTTTCCTGAACAGTCTCTTGGAGAACAGCGGTGTCTGTCTGTCATATGCTTATCTTGCAGATTTTTCTTCCTTATTTGTATGTTCCTTTTTTTCTTTGCCCCATAGGATAATTCTGGACAGGGATACACTGTTCATATCAAGCGTGACACAGGAAGATCAAGGAGTTTACATGTGTGTGGCCAGGACTTCTCTGGACAGTGTCATGGCTGAATCACGGTTAATTGTTCTTGGTAAGAGGATATTTCCCAGTGTGCCAAGAGCTCCATGCAGCACATAATGCCATTGCAGCAGTTTTGCTTATTTGCTTTTTTTATCTGATTCAGTTACAGAGCCTTCATAACCCAGTTTCACAGAGGTGCAATGTACCTCTCCCTCATTAACCTCAGTTGTGCTATCCTCGTATCTCCTGGAATCAGGATGCTGATGCAAACTTTTCATTTATATTTAATCTTTGTTATACCTAAGATGAGGCAGACTTTTTTCTCAGTTCAGGAGTCACCCACAGTGGCTGTAGGAGGTTGCCCAGGCTGGAAGGTGTAACAGAGTATTAAGAATGGCTCAGCTTCTGCTTTGAAGTCCTTGATCAGTTCTTCATCCCACTTTACTAGAGACTTGCACACAAATTACCAGTTGGACTATTTTTTGAAGAAGAAGGACTTAAGGCCAGTATTTAGATGTCCAACTCCTCTGAAGATCAGTGGACGCTGAGCACCTAAAAGGATTAATTATCTCTGTGGATCTGGGCATAATTTATTGTTCAGTGGCAAAGAGCAAGCACATGGCAGAGAAAAGCCTTGACCTGGAGAGCTGATGCTTGCCCTTGTGTGATCACCCATACAACTTGCCTCCCTACCTGAAGGACCACTTGAAATTAAGGGAGTGAACTTGTGGAGTGATCTACAGTCCTTTGCACATGTACATAAGGGCACCAGCCAATAGCTAAAATTCTGTGGATATTGTTGGAATTTTTTGCATAGTTTTGCATCATTTCATTTCATTAAATTTTCTTCACTTTACATTTTTATATATTTCTGGCAGTGATTGAAACAAGAACTAAGATAATCTGAACTTCAAGATGTTCTCTCACTTTAAATGAATGGCATTTTTCAGTGAATAGTAAATGAAGATGATGCTGTGCACATTATTTATGGTATTGTGTTCTTTACTGCTGTATAATTCCAAATGTTTGTAGACTATTCGTACATTACTTATGAAAATTTCATGAAGCACTTTATTCCCTTTTAAAAAGGTGATTTGCAGAAGAGGCAGAAGAGTCTTCTGCTTTTTTCCCTTTGTTTATTGTATATAAGAAAGTTCTCGGTGGATTAACAATATCTATTATTTTCCAAATTAAAACTTCAGGCTGTTTTTGCATTGGAAGACCTATGAAATAGCTAAAGAACTAACTATGGCACAGATGGAGATATCAGAATATGGGCAGCTAAAAGCAAAAGAAATGTTCAGGTAGAATACTTCTAAGTATTTGTTCTGTGATTAATGAACAGGTAAAGTGGTGAGTATCTTTAGGATGTACCATCGCTGTCTTTAAATTAAAGTATATTAATATAATGAATTTTAACACTAGGTATGCTCTAAGAGCAGAGCAGAAAAATGCCTATAGATTAAACTAGTATCTCATGATTTTACCAAGTAGAACAGAAATAGGGAAAAGAAATTCAAAGAAATCTAAACCAAAAAAACCTAACCCAAATATAACCTTTTTAATCTTTAAATGTGCCCTGAGATAAAAAAAGAATACTCGATATTGTTACTTAAAATCTCAGTACAAACACAGTTAATTTGTTTCACAATGGCAGAGGTGGTCTTGATGGCTGAGGTAGCTGGTTTTCCTGTAAGAAATGGCTTTGACAGCCAAAATACACAGTTGGATTGTCGGGGCAGGAGGAGGTCAAATGCCTGAAGTTGTGCAATCTCATTTCCTTGGTCTGTAACTTTTTTAGATTTTAAAACACTAGCCTCATGTTTGAGATGGGGGTGTGTGTGTGTGTGACTTTGGAAGGGTGAAATCAGGACAAGGGGTTATTCTTCCTGCAGTTAGAAATGACTCTTTCACATCAGCCTCTATAATTGCAGTTACCAAACTAATTCAATACAATCAGACTGCAAACTGCCAAAGCAAGCTGTAAGGAAGATAAACATCTGTCAGTCTGAAAACCCTACATTTGAAAGTATTCATTCATTTGCAGGCAATTGGGCAAATGGCCTATACCACATATCAACTCTTCTGCACCTGATGCTGTTGAGAAGCCAGGTCATGTTGCAGGCATGTTCCCCCCCATGCCCTCTCCCAGGACTATGAGTGGGAGCAGCCTGTTTCAGTGATGCTGCTGACCTCAGCCCTGATTAATACCACATCCCTGAAAAGTGAGCTCTGACAGCAACAGAGTAGTCCTGTACTTGGTCTTGTATAGTGCAGTGCAGTTATACCAACCACCACCAACTCTGACATATTCTCTGGACAGCATTAGTTGAGCTGGCAGGTAATGAATTTTCTTGTTTCCTTTTAATATAGATCCCCATAGCTGGGATAATGAATGTTATCCTTTCACTTGAGCTCTAAAAGGCTAAGTTCAATAACTGTTGAAGCTGAGTCACCTTCTACCACTCTGGTTTGCCCCAGAGTAAATCCAAGTGATGCTAATATAAATTTCTGCTAAGAGCAGTGTCAATATCTATTAACAATTAAATAGATCTTAATGTTGATTTGAAAAGAAAAATCTGTTGCTGCAAGCACAGTAATGAGAGTAGATGGAAATGAACTTGAGAAGGGATATTGCCTTTATAAGACAGAAAGCAGTACCAGAAGATTCAGCCTGGTTTTCTATAATAAAAAGGATCCTTCAAAGCAATTCTCACTTTCCTAATTTTATCCATTTTGCAATCAAAAGATATTTTACCACCATCCTCCCTGACCTTGCTGTTCCCATCCTTTGGAAAATGCCAATCCAAACAGAAGTAGCTTGCCATGTTCCTGACATTTCTTCGTTATTTTTCAGATGTTCCTGATCCCCCGGAAGATCTTCAGCTCTCAGAAAATCAAAACCGAAGCATTCGACTATCTTGGAAAGCTGGGGCCAGTCATAACAGCCCTGTTAATGGTATGAAGGATTTTAGTAGCATCATCTTGGACTCGTTAGCATTATGGCATGTCATGGCTGTTAGGAGAAACAAACTGTGCTCACAGCCACACTTACTTTGTTTTGTTATGGCAGCTAATTTGTTGTAAGTTTGTTTCCATCCTTGCTGTTTATAAGCTTCTTATACAAGCTTTGCCTTTTTCCTTTTGTTTTCTTTCTTTTCCTCCCCAGAGTCAATTATAGAGTTTGAAGAGAACCGGTGGGAGCCGGGGAGGTGGCAGGAGCTAACCCGAGCCCTGGGGAATGACACTACAGCTCTTTTGTCACTGGCCCCATATACGAATTACCAGTTTCGTGTCATATCTGTGAATGCTGTGGGAAGGAGCCAGCCCAGTAAACCATCGCTGCTCTATGCAACACCTCCGGCTGGTAAACACTGCCATCTAGTTTTCAGAATATTATTATTTTTAGTGTTTTGCTGGGAATAACAGTGCCCTCCTGTGCTTCAGAGGAGTGTAAAGGAGTCAGAGTCAGTAACACTGCTTTCACTGCTCAGTGGCAGCCCAGGGATGCCAAAGGAGGACTCTACGCTGCTGTGGTTAGCAGGGTGTTTCCTGCCAGGGCGCCCCTAGCATCCTGCTTTTCTGAGCTCTGCTGATTTTGCACCTTTAAAGGCCATTGCAGCCCTTTATGGACAAGCAGTTGTCATAGATCAGGGTTTATGGGAGCCTTTCAGCAGCACTAAGCTTGTTGAAAATCTCCATTCACAGTGAATTTCTTACTGTGACAGAAAATCACAGTGAAATGTTGTGTCCCTGAAAGTCATTTTGGAGGCCAACTGTTCAGTACAGCATTTGCATTCCTTGGCATTTTTCTCTTTGGTTTTTTTTTTCCTGTTTACTTCAATTTCAGGTCGGTCTTCAGCTGTGTGCATTCCGCCAATGATACACCTTCTGTTTACTATTCCCATAGGGAGAAAAATCTTTTCCTCATAATCCCCCTACATCTGGTGCTTTGAAATCCAAAAGTCACAATTTCATGTTAGCTGGTGGCTCCAACCAACAAGGGCACTTAGGAATGAAAACTGCATATACAATGTGTTTTGGTCACAGCAGTTTTGCTGATCCAAGTAATTAATCTCCTGAACTTTTTTTGTTAAGGTGTCTTTCACTGTCAGTAATGTGGAAATAAGAAAAGTTTTTCCCATCTTTTTTCTTTTTTTTTGCATTTAAATAACACACTCAAATAAAAGATATGCAAACTAACCTTTTCATCTGTGTGGTTCCAGCTCCAGACAAGAACCCAGAAAACATCCGAGTTGAAGCTTCAGAGCCAAATGAGATGGTGATGAAATGGGAGGTAAGGAAATGTGTCCGTCAGTGCTATAAAACTGGAAACAGGTTCTCCCTTCAAGCAGTAGTTTCTAAAAATTCTTAATTTATCAGGTTGTTGTTTTAATATAATTACATTAAAAATGAAATAATGGATTGCTTGACTTTATCTCCCCTTCCCCTACCCCTGTTCATTAGGAAATACTAGCAAATTCCATAGGTAGGATCCCTGATGCTCCTGAAGTGAAAGATAAAGTTGTTATTGACTTGACTGTGTTCTGGATTTCCTCCCCTAGTTTCATTTTTGTTTCAAAAGGTAATTTCTTACATCTAACTTTGCAGGTTATTAAACATGAAAGTCTTATAAAGCACAGTGAGAATTCCCCAGAGTATGCTCTTCTGTGGATCTTGCATAAAAGAAAGTGCTTAAAATAATCGTGGTCTTACCCTGCTCTGCTGGAGGAACAGCCAGGCCCAGGGAGGGTATGATATGCACATAGTTTCTGCCCTTCCAGCCTGGAGGTTTAAAAATGATGCAGATCATTTGGCCAAGAGAACGTGAGCTGGAATTTTTACATCAAGAACCAGAGTGTAGATAAAGCTCTTACACGTGTGTCAAAAGAATTGTGTAAAAGTGTTAAGGGTGGTTTCCAATTTTCAAATTCCCTAGCTTTTAAGCTTACAGCTTCCGTGCCAACAGTTTAAAGAGATATATATTCCTTTGTTTAACACAAATATCCACAGTGTATTTGTTTTGTGGCTGGAATTAAACACAATTTACATGAGATTTACTTCTCAATCTGTTGTTCACAGCAAAGAACAATAAATATTCCCTCAGTGTGAACTCATGGCTTAGACTATAATTACAAAAGGAGATGGCCCTCCAGATATATTGACTTGGATTCGAATGGGGATTTTTGCTGTACAACATAGCCCAGGGTCAGGGAAGACAATTCTGTCACTCAGAAGAAATTCAGAGTGGTAGTAACCAGCATAGCTGGGAAATGCTGCTATTACCAATGTTTCATTGAAGAGAGAAAAAGTGTTCCTCGCCGGGAAGCCTGTAATCCACTACTCAGACAGGGTAAAAGTAGAAGTGAAAATTGAGACTGAAGGGGGAGAATAAGACTGACAGGCTTTGTTAAATCTTGTTGAATCATTTAAATATTGTAAACAGGATATTCATTTATTTATGGTGTTTTCTGTATGCTTTTCAGAGGAAATGCTAGGCACTGAACATGCTATTTGTGGCAGACAAAGGCTGCAAAATGATGTTAATCTCCCTACTTTGGATTAAGAGACCAGATGAGTATTAGAGACTAGGTTTTTCAGCCAAGGATTTGCAGCATTAAGGGAGATCAAAATAAGAGTCAAGCAGTGCTGCAGTTTAACTCTAAACGGGAAGTTATTTTTTAGTAGGAATTTTTTTCTTCTTCAGCTTCTCTTGCAAGTCCCATTTCCTGGGAGCTTTGCCATGGAGGTGATTCTCCCAGCAATGCCTGTTAGAAAGATGCCCAGTCTACCAGCTCCTTCACCACAGTCATCCCAAAGGTCCTCATACTCTCAGAGCTGAGAAGTGGGAATTTTTGCAGATCCTCCAGACCTAGGTCTCCCCACACATGAAGAACATGAATGGGGCATGACTTTCTCCTGGTACTTGCAAATCGATGCTGTTTAATTTCAGACCTGTGTGCAGCTTGGATACATACCAGTTCTTATATATTTAAT